TCAAATTCCCTCAGGAATGGAGAGCTGGTTTCCTTCCCACAATGTGGATTTACTCTGTAAGAAAGAAGAAGAAATAGATCTAAGTTTTGGGTCAGACCTTGAAAAATGGGAGGACCTGATCGGATCCGTTCATACCATTGGTAAAGCTCTTACTATCGTTTAAGGATTCTAAGACACTTTACTCTTTTCTGTCTCCTAATGTTTTTGAAACCAACATGCATCCTACAAAAAGTGACAGGTCATAATTAACTGGCAGTGTTCTTTTCTTAGAAGCCCATAAAATTAGGGTGTGATTATAATCCACAGAGTCTTAAAGAATTAGGACATGGTGTTCTAGACTCTCTGCTAAGTCCTGTATACACTTGACCTTTGAACAACATGGGTTTGAATTGCTTGGGCCCATTTATATGCAGATTTCCCCATAGATACATAAATGTATTTCCTCTTATAATTTTTTTAAAGATTATTTATGTATACAAGAACTGGGATACAGGCCAGAGGTGCAGGGGTGAAAGGATTCACCAGAGACAGAGTGGGGAGCAGAACAGGCAATTGACTGAAATACACTGCTGAGCAGCGGGCAAGACAGGAGAGGTCTGCTGCGCCATGTAGGTAGTTCCCTGGCTGGGAATCGAACTCGTGCTGCAGTGACTGCGGATAGCTTCATAATGCTTAACCCCTTTTGCCTCCAGGGAGGCCCCCTGATGATTTTCTTAATAACATTTTCTTTTCTTTAACTTGCTTTATGCTAAGAATACAGAGTCTGATACATAGAACACACAACATAGGAGTTCATTGTTCGTTATCAGTAAGAATTCTGGTCAACCGCAAGCTATCAGTACTTGAATTTTGCGGGAGGTGGGATGTCCAGTAATTAACACGTGGATTTTTGACTGCCTGTGTGTTGGTGCCCCAGCCCCACATTGTTCAGGGGTCAACTGTATATGGTCCTCACTTAAACCTTGAAGCACCTAAGGCGCTCTCAGCTACTGTTCATTAGCTCTGCCTCCCAGATGGGGAGTTGAAACCCCAAGTAGGAAGGTGACTTGCTCAAGGCCCCAGGGATGCTGTCGGCCACCTAACATTGATAGAGCCTTGGAAACTGCAACTTTAAGACAAAGCAGGTCCTCACATACCGTTGGTTCATTCAACATTAGCAGGGATTATGTGTGTGTGTATATATATATATATATATATATATATATATGTGTGTGTGTGTGTGTATATATATAAAATCAATATGTGTATATATATATATGTGTATATATATAAAATCAATATGTGTATATATATATAAAATCAATATTGTAATGAAATAACATTGAAGGAGACTATGCTATTTGAGAACTGCCATGGAGGGTGGTGGACTCAGAATGTCAATCTGTGTCACGTCCATCCTGGGGGGATATTTCTGCCACGTCTGAGGCAGTCTGGGATGGGGGAGATGCGGCTTCCCTTTCCATAGCCCAAGACAACCGAGCTCACAGCGACCACTGTTGCTCAGCCTGTCTCCTTTCAACGGAGCCTCATGTCACCCAGCCCCAGTCCCCCTCTTGGCCCCAAACCCTGGGATTCTTTCCTCTCTCCCAGGAGAGCTGAGGGTCTGACATGTGCTCTCTTGGAGAGGAGGGGGCTGGAATGAGATCTCAGGGGATGGCGGGGGAATTCCAAACCCAGCTGGTTCCTCTCACACAATGCAGATTTGCTTAAATGGGAATTAGGATTAGTGCAGGATTTTGTCTCTCCTGGCAGACTGGTAATAAACTAATCTCTCAGGCTGCAGGAAGGCAGAATTCCACCGAAGACAGGAGACAGCTTCAGGCTCAGAGCTCAAATCCTACAAAGTCATTTTGCTATCGACGGGCCTGCCCGCCCGCCTGATGCGCAGCCCTGACATGCAGCCTGCAGCTCCTTCCCTGCGTGGCTGCAGCCTTTAATTTCGATAATGTGTGACATTCACCCGGGCTGCGTGGCTGATGGGGACGTTTGACATTAATACATGTTCCTCGCGGTCCCCAGAGCTCATAAAAGCTCATTATCAGTTCTGAGCTGGTAATGTAGTTCCCGGCTCAGGTGGGCCTGAGTTCCTCGGGGGCGGCCCTCAGCGGTGGAGTTGTGGACATCTGCGTGAGCCAAGGAATTAAACTGCTGCCTGGGTCCAGGGGGCTCTACCTCCCAGGCCCCTGGAAAGTAACCCTAAGGGATGGGTTCAAATTAGCATCCACAGAAAGGGGCGCCTTCTCTGCTGCTATTTGGGCAACAGTTTGTCAGTGTCTGTCCGCATGTGGAATGAGCAGGGCCTCTGAGCAGCCGTCCCTCTGCTGGCACCCCAGCTTTGGAATTGCATGGGCATTGCCACATAGAGATGTGGTTACCGAGAGGATCACACACTCAGGCAGTGATGACCAGACATGGAAACAGCCAACATGTCCATGGTGGGGGATGCAAATGAAGTTGTGATCCACACCTGCACGGGGCACTGTGCAGCAGTGAGAAGGACTCCAGAAGGTCAGGAAGGCCTGTGTGTCCTTACACCCCTTGGGAGACTCAATAGCCCCGAGCAGTGGTGCTGTCAAACACGTGTGGTGAGAGTCCTCCTGTGTTAAAAGCCCTACTGTGTGCTTTGGGCCCCCAGGGACACATGCTCACATACACCTATGCACAGAGGTAGGTGATTACATGGAATATGGTCTAGAAGGCCACAGTACCAAGGCTTTGTGATGGTTCTCGATGGTGAATAGGCTGCATGGGAAATATACATGTGTGTACATGTATATCTCCATGGTGTATACACTACAGTCATGCATCTTTGTGCTTGCAAGGGCAGGTTTGCCTTGCTATCCCAAAGTAGAGTGTTCGATGAACCTTTCATGAGATGATGTGGCATAAAGTGAAAAAGCAATTACCATTAATTTACATTTTCTAAAATTTGTCTAAAAAATAACCTACCAAATAACACCTAAAACCTGAAGTAACAGGAACGGTGTGATGCAACGCACCCTGTGGAGTGGCTCCTGGGGAAGGAGCGTGGTGGGGCCACCCTCACTGCTAGGGGTGTACCCTGACTCTTGAGTGGCTGCTGCCAAACCAACGCTGAGCCTGCTTTGCTTTTGACATTTGTCCTAAACGTGAAAAATCTTTTTCAGTTTTTTTTTTTTGGGGGGGGTGGTTAGTGAAAATAGAAACTAATGTTGGTCTTAAAAGCAAAGTGGCATAGAGCCTCCCCTTCCCACAACCCCTGCAGCACCAGTTCAATCCCCAGCTGCCGGCGAGGGTCCCACATGGCGCACAGACCTCTCCTGCCGCCCGCTGCTCCCCTCAGCAGTGTACTTTGGTCCTTCTGCCTGTTCTGCTCCCTGCTCTGGATCTGGTGAATTCTCTCACCCTCCCGTGCTTCTGACTGTACCCAGTGCTTGTATAAATAAATAAATACATCTTAAAAAAAATTAAAATAAAATAGTGGTATTTAAAAAAAAAAAAAAGCAAAGTGGCATGGCATAACATGAACTTTTGAAAACCGGGGGATAACTAGACACATATATGTATATATGTATGTGTGTGTGTTGTGACTTCCTCAGATTGCAGCCTTAGTCTGACACTGCTTGGGTGGATGTGGGTGGCAAGAGAGCCACATGTATCTAGATCACCCCCTCCAGTCAAGCCTTTTTCCCATCAGTTAGCAGGGAGCTCTGAGGACCTCTTCCGAGCCTGGCTGCCCTGATGCTAGGCCCGGCAGGGTAGACCTTGACCCCACTGCTCTCCTGCAAGATGGCACTTGCACCAGGCTTGGCTTCCCGGGGACCTGAGTTCTAGTCCCGGCTCTGCCCCATGTCAGGCATGTCAGGGGTGTAACCTGGGCATGTCCACTCCTGAGCTCACATTCTCGTTGCTGTAGCGGTGCAGCGACGCCCGCCGTCAGAGGGCAGATGGGGGACTCAGCTGGAAGTTTGTGCCTTGGTTTCTCAGCCCTGCCTGTGAGCAAGCCGGTCCCCCAGAAGCACTAGCCGGAGTCTGGGCTGGCAGGAATGGGGCCCAGATGTGGTGAGGGTCAGCCTTCTCCCATGAACTGGAGAGAAAGTGGGTGAGCAGCTGGTCCTCTGGCCCCATACTCTGGGCTTGAGATGTTTCTCACCACCAGAGACTTCTCGTCTTGCTTCTTATCTTTCCCCAAATACCAGCTCTTGAAGGCACTGGTTTGCTCCAAGGGTCTGCATTCATTAGACTTCACTCATTAATTCTCTTTCCCGCTTTCAGAATTACTCAGATGCCTCTTTTGGCCTGAGGAAAATGGAGTTCCCACATTAAGTTGATAATATTCTCGCTCGAAGCAAAGATATGTGATGTGATCCTGTGATTAGCATGCTCGATGTCACCGCACAGACATTGTACAGGCGCCTGTGCTGGTTTTAGAAGGACTGAAGATAAGCCCCAACCCATGGGCTCCAGGGGCGCCGTCCTGAGGGCCTCTGTGGGGCTGGGAGCTTCGTGCTGACTTTCTGGCCACGGGCACCCTGTCTGGCTTCTGTACCTGCAGAGATAGAAAGGGGAGGGACCCATATAGAGAAGGGTGAGAATCTGGACTGAGCAGCCCCCAGAAACCAGAGGCTCCACTCACCTGGCCTTTTTTTTTTTTTTTTTTTTAATAGAGGCATGTTTTATTTATTTATTTATTTGTTTGTTTGTTTGTTCGTTTTGTTTATACATGCACTGGGTACAGTCAGAAGCGCGGGAGGGTGAGAGAATTCACCAGAGCCAGAGCGGAGAGCAGAGCAGGCAGAAGGACCGAAGTACACTGCTGAGGGGAGCAGCGGGCGGCAGGAGAGGTCTGCGCGCCATGTGGGACCCTCCTTCGGTGGCCGGGGAGCAGCCGGGGATCGAACCGGCGCCACAGAGGCCGCGGGCAGCTTCGCAACCCAGCGCTCAACCGCTGCGCCACCGGGGAGGCCCTCACCTGGCCTTTTTAATATCGATCTCTCTCTCTCTCTCTCTGCTCCTTCTAGAGTTTATCCTGAAGCCACCAGGAAAAGGTCGGTGCGCTCGAGACATCTTGATGCCCCCGAAAGACACAGACATCAATTGAAAGAGGTAGGACCTGGCCACAGGCTCGTCATAGAAATCTCTTGGTCTTGGCTTTCTGATCTCTAAAAGGGGCCTGACACCCAGCCATGGGGTGGTTTGGGGCGAAGGTGTAAAGAAAGCGCAGAAGCCACCCACCCGATTCTTAAACAGAAGATGCCCCAAACACCTCCCACCTGCCTTCCCCATGCCTAGGGTGCTGTGGAGGGTGGGGGTAAATACTGTAAAGTGCTGTGCCCAGGTACCTGGTGGCATTTGCAGTCTCAACCACTTTCCTTGTCGCTGACCTTTGCATTTTCCCTGTGATGCCATCACCTGCTTCCTGGATAACAAGAGAGACCTTGTCATCGGGTCTCCAAGCTCAGCCTCTCACTGTTGGCAGGTGCAGCTGCTGGCCAAGATTATTCTAGGCTGGTGACCAGCCCCCACTGGCAGATAACGCAGGGCCTGCCTGAGGCCCAAGTGGACTGGCACAGAGAGCAGTGAGATGGGTTCCCGCAAGGGACTCCCTCCCGCCCCACGGCATCTGTGCCCCCAGCTCACCCTGCCCTGCCAGCTGCCGCCGGGTATTCACCATCACCCTCCCGGCAGTGGCTGTCCTGATCTCCTTAGGAAGCTGTGGCCTTATCACAGAGCCCCATCTGCCTGGTTTTCTAATTCAGGAAAAGGTGCTGAAGCGAGTCGGAATAAGCTTAACGTCCCCAAGATCTTTCTGCTGGGCAGGTTTCTGTGGGGGTTGGGGGTGGGTGGCGGGGATAGGCCAGGGGCCTCGCTGCATGAGTGGAAAGAATCTCTTAAAGTTCAGAAAGAAGTAGCAAGAGTGGGTGCTGCTGGTCTTGCTTCCAGAGGGAGACTTTCCTCTCTTGCTAACCAGGAAGCAGGTGATGGCATCACAGGGAAAATGCAAACATGGCTGTGACAGGCAGACGAGTTGTGCTGCTGTGGAAAATCTCTGCTGGGGGCTGAGTCCTAGCCCTGCCCTTCATTAGCTATTTGACTTGGAGTCAGTTTTACCATCGCTAAAATGGGCAGAGAGCATGCACCTTGCAGGTGGTTGTGAAGGTGGGGAGTAGCCTGCAGTACGCTCCTGTTGCTTTGAACTATGGCAGCCTCTGGAATAATGTGACCTCCCAAGGTGACCTCCTTGAAGAGGCAGTGGCTCTGGGGATATAAGAGCTGGGTGTTTGTGAATAAACAGTGGGGTTACCCTGGAGACACATACCTCTTTTTGTGCATGGTCTAAAATAGGGTTATGAGGGGGGCCTGGATTGTGTCAGCTCTCTGTTTTGACACCACTGGGGTGTGGGGTGTGAAAACTTCTTCCTGAGTCTTTATCCCCATGGTTTACACGTCACTGCTAATGATCTTTACTGGACACTTTTATAGATAATCACTGAGCCTCCGAGGCAGGTATTAATAAGCCCTTTTGCAGTGAGGACAACTGGAGTTTAGAGAAGTTGTAAATAACTCCAGGCTTCCCCTCCAAAAAACAGCAAGGTTATGACCCAAACATGGGGCTCCTGCCCAAGAATGGTGTTTGTCTTGCACCCCATAGCACCCACAATGTCTACCAAGGCTCCCACACAGTGCTCCTCTACATCCACGAACACCCTGCACCCACAACCACACCCCAAGGTGCCAATGTCAGCACCTGCATATCCACTGTGACTACTCATGGTGCCCACAGAGTGGCAATTCTGACAGATGGGGTGCACACCCATGGTGAGGGCCCTTGTGGCCTTCTTCCCCAGTAATCCACCCAGCCCTGCACAGAGTTGAAAGCTGAGACAGAAGGAGAAGTCCCTTGATGTCCTGATCTTTCCAGCCAGCCCTCCTCAGCAGGCTGAGCTAGTGAAGGCAATTTCTAGAAGGCACTGAAACCTTCCTCCTACTGAGATCTGACAGTGGGAAGCAGGTGGCAGGGAGGGGCAGACAGAGGCTGGCTCCCCCAGGAGAAACTGTACTTGGGCTCACATTTGTCTCATTTTTCTTTTGGTGCTCAGGCTTTTGGTGTCACAGCTAAGAATCCATGGTCAAATCCAAAGTCATGAAGATCTATCCTTGTGTTTTCTTCTAAGATTTTATATTTTTAGTGCTTATATTTAAATCATTGATCCATTTTGAATTACTGTTTGTTCTGATATATGGTGTGAGGAAGGGGTCCAGCTGTACTCTTTGGCACGTGGATATCCAGTAATCCCAGCACCACGTGTTGAAAAGATTATACTTTTCCCATTGAATATCTTTGCACCTTTGTGAAAAAACCAGTTGGCCATAGATATAAAAGTTTATTTCTGGACTCTCAATTCTATTCCATTTTGTCTATATATCTATGCTTATGCCAGTCCCATGCTGGTTTGATTACTGCGGATGGGGTTGAGGGACTCCCACATCCTGGTTAAGGTTCTTCCATGTCTTTTCATGATCAATAGCTCATTTTTAAGCTTCTTTTTTAAAAAAATGTTAAAATATGCATAACATGCAATTTACTGTCTTAGCCCTTTTAAAATATACAGCTCAGTGGTATTAAGTACTTTTATATTGTTGTGTAAGCACCGCCACCTTTTATCTCCAGAACTCTTTGTATCTTGGGAAACTGAAACTCTGTACCCAAAAGACAATAATTTTCTATTCCGCTCATCTCCCAGCTCCTGGCAACCACCATTCTGTGTTCCATCTCGATGATTTTGACTACTCAAAGTCCCTCATGTAAATGAAAGAACACAGTATTTGTTCCTTGGTGACTGGCTTATTTCACCTAGCATAATATCCTTAGGGTCCATGATATAGTGGATGTCAGAATCTTCTTCCTTTGAAAAGCTGAATAATATGCCTTTGTATGTATAAACCACATTTGGCTTAGCCATTCATCTGACAATGGTTATTTGGGTTGCTTCCATGATTTGGCTACTGTGAATAATGCTGCTAAGTTCTTTTGTTTTTAGCCTGAAGCGCTGAATAATATTCTATTGTATGGAGGTACTACTATTTATCCTTTCATCTACTGAAAGACATCTTGGCTGCTTACAAGCTTTGGCAATTATCAATAAAGCTGCTATTTGCATCTGTATACAGGTCTTTCTGTGGACATAACTTTTCAAATCATGTGAGTAAATACCAAGAAATATGACTGCTGGATCATATGGTAAAAGTATGTTTAGTCTTGTCAGAAGTTGTCAAACTGTCTTCCAAACTGTACCATGTGCATCTCCATCAGCAGTATCTCAGAGTTCTCCTTGCTCCATATCCTTGTCAACATTCGATACTGTCGGTGTTCTGGATTTTGGTCATTCTAATAGGTGTGGAGTAGTAGCTCATTGTTTCAGTTTGTAATTCCCTATTGACAGATAAGCATCTTTCCCTTATCCATGTATCTTTGGTGAGTTGTCTCTTCCAGTCTTTTGGCATTTTTAATTGGATTTTTTATTTACTTGTTGAGTTTTTTGGTTCTTTATATATCTTGAATAGCAGTCCTTTGTCTATGTATCTTTTGCAATTATTTCCACCCGGTCTGTGGCTTCTTATTCTCCTGGCAGTATCTTTAACAGAGCTGAATTTTAAAATTTTAATGAAGTCCAGCTTTTATCAATAATTTCTTTCATGTCCTGTGTCTTTCTTACATGTCCATGACTATTGTATCTAAATAGTCATGGCTGTACCCATAGTCACTTAGATTTTCCCCGTGTGTTGTCTCTTAGGACTTCTGTACTTTTACATTTTACATCAAGCTACATGACTCATTTTTAGTTCATTTTTGTGAAGGTTGTAAGATCTGAGTGTAGAGTCTGTTTGGCATGTGGTGTCCAGTTGTCCGCACACTATTTGTTGAAAAGACTACATCTTTACTGGATTGCTTTTGCTCCTTTGTCCAAGATCAGTTGACTATATTTATGGGGATCAATTTCTGGTTTCCTTATGCTGTTCCACTGAACTATTTGTTTATTCCTTTGCCAATCCCACACGTCTGGATTACTGTATCTTTATAGTAAGCATGAAAGTAGGGGAGTGTCAGTCTCTGACTTCCTTGGGTGACATAGCAACTCTCAAGAGTAGCAGCTATACAGCAGCCTCACTAAAATGTCAGGGTGTCTATTTCTTCTTATAAGAGCCTTGGCAGATTTGGCCTATCTCCTCTAGGCTATCAAATTTGTGAGCATAGAATTATTGATGATATTCTTTTATTATCACTTCAATGTTCATAAGAACTAGGGCGGTGTTTCTGATATCAGTAATTTTTATCTTCTTTTTTTCTTCGCTAGCCTGTGTGGAACATTTTTGTCTTTGTTAATCTTTTCAAAGAATCAACTTTTGGTTTTGTTGATTTTTTTCCTATTGTTTCCTGTCCTCTGAAGCCCATGTTTTAATCATGACTTTATCACTATCTGAGGGACCCTGGGGGTAAATTCTTTCCACTAACTGAATCTCAGTTTCCACCTATCTGCCAAATATGTGTGATGATAATAAATACCTATTCTGGAGTTGGTTTGAGGGGAAGTGTCAAATGCAAGCCCACGTTCATTTATTCAACAGCTAATTGTTGATTCCCTACTATGTACCAGGCTAGCACTGCTGTACACACTGGAAATGTTGTAGTGAACAAAATAGCAAATGCCTTGATGGCACTTGTCTCCTAGTTGGGGGAGACAGAGACCAAGCAAACTGAATGTCAGGCAGTGAGAGAAGCAGGGAGGGGGCAGGGAGTGACCAATAAGTTGTGTTTTGAATGGGGGCTCTTGGAAGTCCTTCCCAATCTGCTGTCACTTGAGCACAGACCTGAGATAGTGAGGAGCAAGGCTGGCTTCATCTGGGGGAAGAGCCTTCCTGACAAAGGTGTCAGCAGGATGAGAGCCATTAGGTGGGCAGGGATTAGCATGTTGGAGGGTGATGGCACAAGGATGGTATGGAAGGAGAGGAAGCCAGGAGGGAGGTGCCAGCCAGGATAAGGACTCTGGATCTTGTTTCTATGTGTGATGGGAAGTTGGTGAGGAAGGTGGAGGTTCAAATTTGCA